AACCTGCATGATTCAGCTCCTGCCTGCCCTTTCTACTTCATGTCCCTCCTTACCTTCTAGGTGCTACCCCTGATGGCTTTCCTGTGTAAAGTAGGCCATTTCTTGATCTTTTCTAGCTCAGTCTCTTATTTGTTTTATTTATTGCATTTCCAATACTTGCATTTATTTTGTCTCTTTATACTTTACACCTGTCTTCTCCACTAGAATAGAAGTTCCAAGAGGGTAGGGACTTTGCCTTTTTTTTTTTACTGTTCTATTCCCTAATGTATTCCCAGGATATTGCCTGGTTTCAGTGAGTATTTGTTGAGCATGTGAATGGATGAAAGAATGAATGAACAAATTTTCTTATTGTTCCATATAGAGAAAATGATAGTATAGTCAGATGTTTCTCTGTTTGGAGTTTGATCCTTACCTAATTCAAATAAAAATTATATAGTCTTGTTCCTACAAGTAAAACAATCTTTAATAAAACTGTGCCTCACATGAGTTTTTGGTTGATGCAACCAAACGTTTTGTTTATGGAATTCTGGCAATGCTTTCCAAATATATTTGATCCTGTTTTCTATTGGTAAAATGTTTGAGCACACTAACCATATAGGTACACTTATTTATTTCAAATATATATAAATGTATTGCTGTACTACTACATAATAAAATGTACACAGAAATAACATTTTAACAGGGTGGATTGAAAGATCGTTCGGGTATTTTCCTCCTGTTTTTCAGTGGATGGCTGTGTACCTCTCCTCTTCCCCATGTGCTTATCTCCCTTTGAGCGCACTGCCTTGAGGAAAATATTATACTACATTTATTTACATGACTAAGTGTAAAACTACAGTATTGTTAACACTTTTGCATTTTAAACCTTACCTGTATGGACTGAAAGAATTTATTTCTTTTTAAAATGATTTATGACATCATATAGTACAGGTAGGATAGAATTTTTAGCTTTATGGGCATATTCTGAAGTTATCTCATCTAATTTTTACTGTACTTATTCTTAACGTTGTTCAATTATAGTTTTCTACAGAAAAATATGTAGAGTATTATAGAGGAAGGAAATAGTGTGATTAGAAAAGGGGCAGGGGAAGCAAGCAAGAGCTACAGAAAAGGTTCTGCTATAGGCCAGTATCTCTGATAAACATAGACGCTAAACTTCTCAACAAAATATTAGCAAACCAGATCCAGCAATACATTAAAAAAAAAAATGATACATCATGATCAAGTGAGATTTATTTCAGGGTGCAAGTTTGGTACAGTATCCAAAAATAAATAAATGTGATACACCACATAAGAAAAAGAATGATAAAAATCACATCTTATCCATAGATGCAAAAAAAAATAAAGTCCAGCACCCATTTATGGTAAAAACTCTCAGCAAAATGGGAATAGAAGGAACATAACTCATCATAATGAAGGCCAAATATGACAAACCCAGAGTCAACATCATACTCAAAGGGCAAAAACTACAAGCATTTCCCTTAAGACTAAGAACAAGACAGGGATGTCTACATAGTTCTGGAAGTCCTAGCCACAGCAATCAGACAAGAAGAAAAAGGAAAAGGCATCCAAATTGGAAACAAAAAAGTAAAACTCATTATTTGCAGATGACATAATGTATACTGTATATAGAGAACCTTAAAGATTCTACCAGAATGCTACCAGAACTGATAAATGAATTCAGTAAAGTAGCAGGATACAAAATGAATACCCAAAAGTAAGTTGCTTTTTTATATACCAATAGTGAACTATCAGAAAGGGAAACTGAGAAAACAATCCCATTCACAATTGCTTCAAAAAGAATAAAATACCTAGGAATAAATTGAACCAAGAATGTAAAATACCTGTATTCAGAAAATTATAAGACACTGAAGAAAGAAATTGAAGAACATACAGATAAGCAGAAGAATATATCATCTTCATGGATAGGAATAATTACCATCATTAAAATGTCCATACTACCTGAAGCTATTAATAGATTCAGTACAATTCCAATCAAACTATCAATAGCGTATTTCACAGAACTAGAACAAATATTCCCAAAAATTTATATGGAACCACAAAAGACCCCGAATAGCAAAAGCAATCTTGAGAAAGAAGAACTTGGAGGAATCACACTACCTGATATCAAACTATAACAAGGCCACAGTAATCAAAACAGCATGGTACTGGCATAAAAACAGACATATAGATTAATGAACAGAATAGAGAGCCTGTTCATTAATAAACATACATCTTTATTGTTAATTAAGATTTGATAAGGAGGAAAAAACATACAATGGGGTAAAGATAGTTTATTCAATAAACGGAGTTGGGAAAATTGGACAGATTTGTGTCCCCAAAAAGTGAAACTAGACCACCTTCTTAAACCATACACAAGAATGCACTAAAATGCACTAAAGACTTAACTGTTCAACTCCAAACCATAAAAATCCTAGAAGAAAACATAGACAATAAAATCTCGGACATTGCATTATTATTATTATTATTATTATTATTATTATTTAATCCTCACCTGAGGATATTTTTTCTATCTTCAGGTAGACCAGGAGGGAGGGAAAGAGGAAGAGAGAGAGAGAGAGAGAGAAACATGATGTGAGAGAAACACATTGATTTGGTTGCCTTCTGCACGACCCCAACCGAGGTATGTGCCCTTGGCTAGAATCGAATCCAGGATACTTTGGTCTGTGGGCCAACGCTCTAACCACTGAACCAAACCTGCCAGGGCTTGGACATTTCTTATAGCAGTATTTTTTCTGATATATCTCAGGCAAGGGAAACAAAAAATAAACAGATGGGACTACATCAAACTGAAAAGGTTTTGCACAGCAAAGGAAACCATCTACAAAATGAAAGACAACCTACTGAATGAGAGACTATATTCACTGATACATCTGATAATGGGTTAGTGTCCAAAATTTATAAAGAACTTATACAACTCAACACTAAAAAAACAATTCAATTAAAACATGGGCAAAGGACCTGAATAGACACTTCTCCAAAGAGGACATACAGATGGCCAATAGACATATGAAAAGATGCTCAACATTACTAATCATCAGAGAAATGCTAATTAAAACCACAATGAGATATCACCTCACACCTGTCAGGATGGCTATCATCAATAAATCAACAAGCAAATGTTGGTGAGCATGTGGAGAAAAAGGAACCCTTGTGCACTGTTGGTGTGAATGTAGATCGGTGCAACCACTGTGAAAAGCAGAATGGAGATACCTCAAAAAGTTAAAAATGGCCAACCAGTGTGGCTCAGTGGATTGAACATCATCCCATGGACTGAGAGGTCCCAATTCGATGCCCAGTCAGAGCACATGCCCAGATTGAGGGCTTGATCCCCAGTAGGGGGCATGCAAGAGGCAGCCAATCAATGTTTCTCTCTCACATTGATGTTTCTATCTCTCTCTCCATTCTTCTCTCTATGAAAATTAATAAAAATATGTTTTAAAAATTTGTTTAAGAAATTTAAAATGAACTGCCTTATGACCCAGTGATTCCACTCCTAGGAATTTATTTGAGGAAACCCAAAACACTTATTCATTTTTTTACAATAGCCAAGATTTGGAAGCAGCCCAAGTTCCCATCAGTAGATGAGTGGATAAAAAAGCTATGGCACATTTACACAATGGAATACTACTTGACTATAAAAAAGAGGGAAATCTTACCCTTTTGGACAGCAAGGATGAACCTGGAGAGCATTATGCTAAGTGAAATAAGCTAGTCAGAGAAGGACAAGTACCATGTGATGTCACTCATATGTGGAATCTAATGAACAAAATGAACTAATCAGCAAAATAGAGGAACTCATAGTTGGAGAGCAAGGAGAAGGGGATTGGGGAAGTGGCGGGATTGAGCAAAAAATAAACTCATGGGCATGGGCAATAGTGTGTTGATTGCTGGGGGGAAGCAGAGGGTATAGGAGGGATAAGTGGGGATGGAAGAAGACTTGTCTTGAGGTGGTGAGCACATAATACATTGTATAGATGATGTGTTGAAGAATTGTTCACCTGAAACTTGTATAATTTTGTTAATCAGTGTCACCCCAATAAACTCAATAAAAAGGGAACAAGAAGGCTGTGTTGACTAAAAAAATAACTACACTATAAATATTTGAATGAAATATTTTTTCCTTGGGGGATTGCTAGTTGTAGAAAATTAGCAGTTGGTTCATGTAGACAAGGTTGCTAAAAATAGGGGGGGAAATCACTATTCTCCAATAAAAAGATAGTCTTTCAAGAAGTATCAGTTCTACAATATAGCAGCCTGAGACAGGTTTGGAGGTTTTAAGCCTGCTATATTACCTCTGAGACCTAAAGGAAGCAGAACATAAAAATGAGCCTCTATCAATTTGAAGCAAACCTAATCTTTGTGATCATGGCTGTGCTCTAAATCTATTAAAGATGTTCAAATTCAGTGTCCTTGGTATCACTGCAGGTTGACCTGAATAGTGAGCAATAAACTTGTGTATTATAATTCTGGTTTGAAGATATGTACTTAGAAAATGAAACCGACAGTTGGTGTTTTGTGTCTGTCTCTAAGCAGACTAACAGCCTATATAAAAGGACAGGTGAATTTTGAGGGAAAGAAACCCATAATGTTTTCTTATTTAGTAGGTGACAGTATGTCCCAAGATAACACAAGCTTAAGGGGCTGGAACAAGCATGGTTATTAAAGGCTAGCAGTTTCTCAGTTCATACAAATTGAATTTTTTTCATAGGCTGGAAGACTGGAAATCTAGTATAAAGTACTGAAATAAATTAGCATATTAAGTGAATTTATACATTCAAGCTTCTGAGTACTTTGAATTTAAGGAAGAAATTTTATTATTTCTTGAAAGAAAAAAGGCAATTCTTAAATTTTGTGTTTGATCTCCCTTTTGGAAAGGGCCTATATTGATAAATTATATCATTTTGATGATTGTCCAAAGACATGGTTATTATATTGATGGAAATCTTTCTCTCTTCTTTTATCTTTCTTTTTTTTAGAATTACTGATTTAGGGAATATCAAAAGAAGATTGTACTTATCAACGGTCCATAAAGAATTGTCCTCAACCCCTCTTCATGCAAAAATTCCACTCTTCATGATCAAGCGCAAGATTGTAAGTGTCACATGAATGTTGCTAAAATATGAAATTCAATTCAGCATATATTAATTATGTGCCTAGTCTGTGTATAAGGCATTCTTTTAAGTACTGTGGTGGTATAAAGATGAATAAAATTTATGGTGTTTTTTTTCCCTCATATGATAATGCTTAAAATCTACCAGGTAGAAGAATATAATTATTTGAATATCAGAAATACCACCAAAACTGTAATGGGAAACAAAGTAGAGAGTGAAGGTGCTGTTGGTACTGTGAAAGGAAAAGAAATCCATCTGACTTCAGGATGAGGAAAGGCTGCATAAAGGAGATTTGCATTTAGTATGGACTTTGAAGGACTGTAAGATTTCAACAGGTAGAGATGGGAAGCCAAGATTACAAGCAGAAGGAACTGCATGGAGGCTGGGAAATGGTCCATATTTAGAGAACAGAGAATGATTGATCATTGTTGCCAGATTTTTAAAAAATCATTTTAAGGAAAATCAGTCTTACAATATAACAACCTGGTATAAGTTGGGAGATATTATGCCTGTTGTGTAACCTCTGAGACCTAAAGCAGCATATAATGTAAGTGTCAATAAGCAATAGGTTGCAGGCCAAGATGCTTAGGCCTGATATGACTGACTAGTCTTTCTCAAACTTCAGTCATTTTAATATATCTCTCATGACTACCATGCTTGTGTACTACCTGTTCTAAGATGTATTTAATATTTTCCTTTAAATCAACTCACTTTGGGAGGGGGTAAATAAATTTATTTTGAAAGAAAACTTTAACCACTTACCCAAATGCATAAATACAAATGTAAGGAATCTAGGCTCATGAAAAATCAAGTAAATGTGACACCAACAAAGGAAACTAGTGAAGCTCTAATAAGTGATCCTAATAGAGATCTATGACCTGTCAGACAAAGAATTCAGAATATTTTGCTTAAAGACATTTAGTGAACTTCAAGAATACACAGACTGAAAACTAAATAAAATTAAGAAAACAATGCATGAACAAAATCAGTAGTTCATCAAAGAAATAAAAACCTCAAATACCAAACAGAAATCATAGAGCTGAAAAATACAATAACTGCACTGAAGCATTCAGTAGAGAGCTTCAAAAGCAGATTGAACCATGCAGAAGAAAAAAATCAGTGACCTGGAAGACAGGACAATTGAAATGATTCAATCTGAGGAAAAAAGAAAGAATGAAAAAGAGTCAAGAACGTTTATAGGAATTATGGGACATAATGAAAGGAAACAATATTTGCTTTATGGGAATTTCAGAAGAAAAGGACAGAAAATGTATTTAAAGCAATAATGCCTGAAAACTTTTCAAATTTGGGATGAGAAATAGACATCTAGTTCCAAGAGGTTCAAAGGATCTCAAATAGGTTGAACCTGAATAGGGCTACACAAAGACACATCATAATTAAATTGTCAGAGGTCAAAGAAAGATTTTTAAAAACAGCAAGAGAGCCCAGCCAGTGTGACTCAGTGGTTGAGTGTTAACCCATGCACCAAAAGGTCAGGGCACATGCCCAGGTTGCAGGCCAAATCCCCAGTGGGAGGCATGCAGGAGGCCACAATTGATGCGCTCTCTCTCTCTCTCTCTCTCTCTCTCTCTTTCTTTCAAATTAATAAAGAAAACAGCAAGAGAAAAAAGAGAAGTTACATGCCAGGGAACCCCCATAAGACTCAAAAGATTTCTCAGCAGACATTTTTCATGCCCGAAGAGAATGTGATGGCATTCAAAATGTTGAAAAAAAAACTGTCAACCAAGAGTGCTTCAGCCAGCAAAGCTGTCCTTCAGAAATGAAGGAGGGATAAAGACTTTTCTAAATAAACAAAAGCTGAGGGGAATATAACCAAAGGAAATGAAAACACTAACTCAAAAGATATTTGCATTCCCATGTTCATAGCAGCATTATTTACAATAGCCAAGACATGGAAATGACCTAAGTGTTAACAGATGAATGGTTAGAGATGTTGTGTGTTACATATGCAGTGGAATATTATTTCATTAGAAAATGAGGAAATCCTGCTATTTGCAAAAATATGGATGGACCTTGAGAACAGTATGCTAAGTGAAATATGTCAGACAGAGAAAGACCAATACTATATGATCTGACTTCTATGTGGAATCTAAAATAACAATAACAACAATAAATTTTATTTTTAAAAAAGAGAACAAATTTGTGCTTACCAGAGGCAGGGGATGGAGCAAGGAGGAATTGGAGAAAGGTAGGCAAAAGCTACAGATTTTCTAGTTACAAGATAAAAAGTACTATGGATGTAATGTACAGCTTGATGACTATAGTTAACACTGCTATATGATATATAGGAAAAGTTGTTAAGAGAGTAAATCCTAAGAGTTCTCATCACAAGGAAAATTTTTTTCTTTTTTTTGCTTTTTCTTTTCATTTATCTATATGAGATGATGGATGCTAACTAAATTTACTACAGTAGTCATTTCAAAATATATGTAAGCCAAACCATTATGTAGTACACCTTAAACTTATACAGTGATATATGTCAGTTATTTCTCAGTAAAACTGGAAAAAAAACTAAAAAGGAAAACTTTATATGTTTTACAATGGAAATCCAACATAAATTTCTAAAAATAAAATTTAACCATAAAAATAAACATACTGAAAACAAAACAATATCTTTGAAAAAAAATTTTTTTTAATTGATTTTAGAGAGAAAGGAAGGAAGAGGGAGAAAGAAATAGAAACATCGATGAGAGAGGACATTGACTGGCCACTTCCTACATGCCCCCCACTGGGGATTTGGCCCACAACCTGGGCATGTGTCTTGACCGGGAATCGAACCAGTGACCTCTTGGTGCATGGGTCAACGCTCAACCACTGAGTCACACTGGTCAAGCAAAACAATGTCTTTTTACCTATAGTAACTCATTTAATCCTCAGATTGGCCCCAGGTGGTTATTATATGACTGCCATTTTCCTCAAAAATCTGAGGCTCAGAGAGATTTAAGCAACTTGATTAAGGTTGTTGAGCTAGTGAGTGGGAAAGCAAGATCCAAATTCATTCTCTACCCTACAACATTCCCCTCTGCTCCCACCCTCTCTCTCACCTTATAGCCCTGTGATGGGAGTCTCCTGAAAGTGCAGAATAGATGCCCCAGTTTGGTTGCATGGGTGGTAGACCCAAGTGCCTGCCGTCCCTATCCACACAGCCTCACTCTCACCCATTGGTTTTTAAGACAGCACACCAGTATGAAGTGACAACCCTGTTAGTGATGGGAACCCTTCTACTCTCCACTTCCTGTCCCAGGAGGCCTCAGGATGCACAGGAGCAGCCTTTGTACCACAGGAATGAGGCCTCAGGGAGCAAAAGCACACAGGAGCAGCCTCGGGAGGGGAGCAACTGCAAAGGGCATTCTGACCAGCTCAGCCTAGAGGTCTCTCTGGACTGTGTGCTTACATACGAAATGCTCCCCTGATGCGTAGTGCCTGGGGAAGTACTTCCTTTGACAAAACTATTTTTTTTTTTGGACTATTATTCAGCTATTTAGTACTAACTAAGTACTGTTTCTTGTTTAAGGCTCAGTCCTGATGCATGCTCTGTTAAAAATAGTTTATTTAGAGTTAGATTTATGTTCAAGCTTTCTCTTGGGCATAGCTAGGTTTGAAAGAAAACTGATAAAAGGAGATTATTACTCTATAATCCAGAGTCATTAAATGCCACTCCCATGTACCACAAATCATTTTAAAACTGGTGCATGTTCCACTCTATGAGAGCCACTGTAGTAGAGAATAGGAAGCCATTAAAACCTTTGGTTTGGGAAGGAACACACAGTCAGCTCTGTGCTTTGGGAAAATTAATCTGGTAGTTTGGAGTGGTTTGAAGGGGGTAGAAAGTAGAGATGAGGAGAACATTTGCAGTAATCTGAGTTAGGGTTGATGAGGACTTGGGCTGTACCGGTAGTGGAATGGTTGTTAAGCAACATCAGAAGCATGTAAGCAGATACGCTGGGACTACGTAAGCAGACCTCTTCCATGTCATGTGGCACATGGTGCGACAGCAGGGCCTACAGTGAACTCTGAAGCACAGGGGAGTGGTCAGGGGAGGCCCGCTGAAGAAGGGGATGCCTGAGCTGGGCCTTGAAGGATAAGAGTTAACCAGTTGAAGTGAGGGGAGGGTTCCTAGAAAAGAAAGAGCAGCATTAAGAGCAACTGCATGGTTTGACATTATTATTGACTATATCCCCTATGCTTTACTTAGCCTTCTTATGAATATTTTTATAACTGGTAATTTGTACTTCTTAATCCCTTCTATCTTTTCCACCCATCACTCCCCATCTCCCCTCCCATCTAGCCACCATCAATTTGTTCTCAGTACCTGAGTTTCTGTTTTGTTTATTGGGGCATTCACTCCACAAGGTATATAAATATATAATCATAATGTTGCACATCTGAAACTGATATTGTATGTCAACTGTGATTGAAAAATAAATTTTTGAAAAGAATAGCTGCATGAGCCCGGCTGGTATGGCTCAATGGTTGAGCATCGACCCACGCACCAAGAGGTCGCCAGTACGATTCCCAGTCAGGGCACATGCCCAGGTTGTGGGCCAAATCCCCAGTGGGGGGCATGCAGGAGACGGCCAATTGATGTTCTGTCATCAATGTTTCTATCTCTCTCTCCCTCTCCCTTCCTTTCTCTCTAAAATCAATAAAGAAAAATTTAAAAAAACACAAAGAGTAGTTGTATGAGATGTGCAGGCAAGTTCAGTAACTCAGTGCTGCTGAGGACAGATCAGAATCATAAGTAGGTGTAAGGTTATAGAAGAAAGCAAGGGAAACTTCCTGGTAGGCCTTATATTTTTAGCCAGGAAGCCTGGACTTTTATCTTATAGATGATAGGGAGTCAGTGAGGTGTTTACAGCAGCAGGGTTTGACATGGTCAGATTAGCATTTTAGATTCAAAAATCACTTTGGAAGATGGGTGGGAAAGATAGAACTGGAGACCTACAGGACCATTTAAAA